CTTTGTGTATTTTGGAGCACTTGTGAACTGATTTGAGTGTTTTATTAATATTTATAATATTTGATATTAATTTAATAAAAAAATATTACGAATAAATTCAATAGCATTAAAAAAAAATTATATCATCACTCACATATAATTTTTAGGAAATTTTTCTATAAGGGGTAGGGTTTTTTATGAGGGGTAGGTCTTGAATAAGGGTTTTTTGGTTGCCGAAAAGCTGCAATAAACTTATCATAGATCATTTGAAAACCAATAAAAAGTTTATAATTCAACATATAGGTATGCATACTATTAAAACATCTCAAGCTTTCAATATTTTTTTGTTTATTTTACTATAAGGGATGGTTTTTAAGGGTTGCAACTTTGTAATTAGTCGTAAGCTTTTTAATGAATAACAAAAGAAATGCAATACATTGTGAATGCACCAAAAAATATTTTAAACTGTTAAAAACTTTTTGTGTTGAAAAGTAAATAAAAAAAATAAATTATAATACATGAAAGGAACTTTACCCAACATATTTGAACATGAATTGAATCTTTAAAATGCGAAAATCTTTTAAATTTCGTCTTTAGAAAGACTATATATTATACAATAAAATATAGAGCATCCTATTAAAAAAAAATGTTGGTAACTAATGTTATAGGTCTCTCAAACATAGAAAATATTACAGAAAAGCGATAATTTCTATTTACCAATTGACCTGTTTTAGCGATTTTTTAAAATCTGAACTGGAAAAAATATATAAATTTTGTTCCATAATTTTGGGAAACACTGTATATCTATGCTTTAATAGAAGTTTGGCAGTCAAATGTAGGTACATCATATGTGTTTGTATTTTTTTCAGTTAGTCAATACAATTTCAAATTTTTTGTCGACTCCTAATTAGAATGCGTAATTAAAAACTGGTGAATAACAAAAGAAATGCAATACATTGTGAATGCACCAAAAAATATTTTAAACTGTTAAAAACTTTTTGTGTTGTAAAGTAAATAAAAAAAATAAATTATAATACATGAAAGGAACTTTACCCAACATATTTGAACATGAATTGAATCTTTAAAATGCGAAAATCTTTTAAATTTCGTCTTTAGAAAGACTATATATTATACAATAAAATATAGAGCATCCTATTAAAAAAAAATGTTGGTAACTAATGTTATAGGTCTCTCAAACATAGAAAATATTACAGAAAAGCGATAATTTCTATTTACCAATTGACTTGTTTTAGCAATTTTTTAAAATCTGAACTGGAAAAAGAATATAAATTTTGTTCCATAATTCTGGGAAACACTGTATATCTATGCTTTAATAGAAGTTTGGCAGTCCTATGTATTTGTATTTTTTTCAGTTAGTCAATACAATTTCAAATTTTTTGTCGACTCCTAATTAGAATGCGTAATTAAAAACTGGTGAATAATAGTCTAGGTCTAGGGAACAAAAATAAACACATTTTCTCTACAAATAAATGTAATGTACTGACGTATTTTTTACACAAACATCTAGTTCCTGAGAATTTATATAAAAATACAAAATTCATTGCGATTGTTCCAGCAAATAAATACAAAATCTGTACTAAGTTATGGTATGAATTATAACTGAAAGGAAATACATTATAGATTCATTATTTTCCAGATTTTTCGCTTTCTAAACATTTCCGTCGATCAGTTGTTCAGACGACAAAGTTTTCTCGCCGTTCACCGTGAACGGTTCGTTGCTGCTTATAAAGAAAATATTCTTCTTCAAAAATTTGCCGTTTTCTTCGTCTGTCACCTTAACTTTGCCAGTACAGAATTCTAGTAACGCTAATAGGTACACTATCACGTAGATTATTCCGGCGCCGTCTGATATCTTGTCGATGTGGCCTTCGGTGTTGTAACGGTAGATCCAGTTGAAAATGTAGAACAGTCTGTAGAGTCCCAACGGTATCAAGTAATACAGCAGGCTTCTTTCCAACTCTCCTTTCTTGTAGATCATGTAGAATTGGGGTAGGATGGCCACCGACTCCAGGTAAATGCTGAACGCCCATAATATCTAAAAGAGATAAATTTTAAAAAGGTAAATCTAGCCTTCGTAAATTGTGAGCTTACCTCTACTGGTTCCATGATGTTGTTAGCATATAGGGCTAGCACGAATGTTGGAAGTAGGATTATTTCTGTTAAAAACGAGTCTTCCGTGCTTCTATATGATTTTTGGAAGACAACGAGTATCAGCAGGACTGTGACGTAACTGCAGACGATGTACGTTATCTTGAAAGCAGTATTGTAAGTTGAGATGTATCCTGAAAACAGATCCAGGTATCTGGTGGAGAATACTAAGGCGAAGAGCAGTTGGGTTTTACCGGAGATGCCTGAAATAAAAATAAGGAAAAGATTTATATTTTTAAGAATATATTTGTATTTTTACTTAGTATACAGGGTAATTTCACTTTAAATACAGAAACTGCAGAAGTAGATAGATTCATTACCAAAAAATAAGTAGAGTTGGCTCTATAAACTTTTTTCCTGCGTGACTCGGTTTGTCACAATTCGTCTCGTGTTTATAAACCCAACAAGGGCTGCAGCTTCAGAAATAATACTGGATGTGAGAGGGGGCAAGCAATTTTTTTCTGGATTACCTTCAGTACAACTCACATAATAAAAGTGTAGATCCCTAAATCTGGGCGAGGTCCGGAACATTTTTAAAATTGCAAAAATGTTTAAAAAATTTAAAAAAATACCTATTTTATCCGAGTTTTTTACTTATATCTTGGAACCTACGCATTTTGGAAGAATATTGAGAAGAAAAAAGTTTTGAGATTGAATTTTGCACAATATACTCGAAGTAGAAAATGTTTAAATTTATTACCGATGTTGCAAAATAGCAATAATTGATGAAAAAAGGCAAATATATCAAGTTTTTTGGATAATTTTTTTAAAATGTTTTAATACGTTGACTGCGGTACATACCTCGGGGGGTATGTACTCATTATAAAAAATATGCGAATCTCAATAATCACATTTTTATGTATCTGTGGAAGTTGCAGAATCTGTAGTTTTTAGAAATAATGATTTTTCTATTATTTTCTTTTCAAAACTCTTTGCGAATGAAAACGTTAGTATCCTAGGATATATAGTTACAGATACACGCAAGTTTATAGCAATAATTGTGTTATTTTTAATTTTATAGGGTCAAATGTAAAAAAAATACATATCCCCAGGGATATGTACCGCACACAGAAGAAGTTTTGTTACATATCCCCGAAGATATGTATCGCAGTCACGGACAAAGTACATTGAGATTATCTCGCAGTCAACGTGTTAATTGCTCCGAGGGCATTCTAATTTTGGTAAAAAAAATTTACAGTATAATAAAACAGCACAACAAATTTCATTAAAATCGGTTCTATAGTTTTCGCAAAGTAATTATTTGAAAGAAATTTTGAAAAAGACGTCGAATTTTCAAAATTTTGCAGACTCAAATAAAGCATCTAGATACTTGAAAGTTTTTTCACATAGAAATTACTTTACAAATAGTTTTTGAAAAATTGAAATCGGTTGATTAGGACGGTCACAGTAAAGTTTTAAAGTTAACATAATTTTTTTTTTCATTTTAAAACAATTAGATTACATCTATCAGTTTACAATTTAGTTTTTTTCAAAAATTATAATTTTAAAGTACTCGGAAAGACTCTTCTTTTAAAAAAGAAAAAGTTAAATTCCGTTTGTTGGTTTTCGAGATATAAGCGGTCAAAGTTTATCGGCATTTACCGTTAATTTATAAACAATTTAGCAATAATCTTTGATCCAGTAGTAGGGTTTCTGGTCGAGACTTCCCGAAGCGAGAATTCCCGGGAAATCTGGCCTTACTCGAGACGAGAAAAAAGTGTCGAGAAATCGAGAAATTTAAAAATCACGCGCGTCTTAAGTTCTTGACTGGAGTTCGTTTCGTTCATGCGTTCAATTCGTTTCTCGACAAATAACTGAGCGGTTAAAGTGGTTTCTCTACCAGCTCATGATTTATTTATTTTAAGTTTTTAAGACTTTAGTTTATTTTGAAGATTTTTTTTTTTTTTTAATGTACAGGGTGATTCACTATATTTTGACCCCCCTTTAACTTTTTTGTTTTAAGAGTTATAAAAAAATGTGAAATACAAAAGTTGCACGATTTTTTATGAAGTTTTCGAAAATGATAGTAGAAAAACAAATGAAGTTCAAACAAAATGGCCGCGGATGTTAACTTTGTTAATTTAAATGGAACACCCTGTATATTTTTACATATTTGGATAGAACGTTCCTTGTCGAGCATAGTCATATAGGGTTTGTTGGGTCCATCTCTAATAATAGGCGAGATAATATTAAAAAACGAAATGATGTTTTTTTATTAAGAAAATAAGACATCTTGTAATTGTTAGACCTCTTTCAGGCATTTCTGCCTTTTTTCCAATTACGTAAGGATTTAGATTTAGTTGTAATATATTTTGACATATCGGACATTGATATAGTCCAAAATGCGTATAGGTATTTTAAGTAAATCTCACTAATTAGACCGTGTGAGGCCAATTACTCATGGACAATCTTATATATGGTAGGTCGTGACAGTGACAGGTAGTAATGTCATGATAACATTGTTATTGTTTGACAGTTTGTATTAGTATTTAATTAAAATGGGTTACACAGAAGTAGAAAATTGAAATATTATTAGGAATTAAAATAAACTATGGAGAATATCTTAACTACTCTATCTTAATTCCTATAATATTTAAATTTTCTACTTCTGTGTAACCCATTTTAAATAAATAATAATACAAACTGTCAAACAATAACAATGTTGTCATAATATTACCTGTCACTGTCACGGCCTACCATATAACATTGTCCATGAGTAAATAAGCCCCTCACGGACTAATTAGTGCGATTTAGTTAAAATACTTATACCCATTTTGGACTATATCAATGTTCGATATGTCAAAATATATTGCAAATAAATCTAAATCCTTACGTAATTGGAAAAAAGGCAGAAATGTCTAAAAAACGTCCAACAATTACAAAATATTTTATTTTCTTAATAAAAAAACGTTATTTTCGTTTTTTAATATTATCTCGATTATTGTTAGAGATGGACCCAGCAAACCATATATGACTGTGCTCGACAGGGAACGTTCTATACAAATGTGTAAAAATATACAGGGTGTTCCATTTAAATTAACAAAGTTAATCATATTAATATTATAATACTATCATATTCGAAAGTTTTATAAAAAATCGTGCAACTTTTGTATTTCACATTTTTTTATAACTCTTAAAACAAAAAAGTTAAAGGGGGGTCAAAATATAGTGAATCACCCTGTACCTAGTTATAAGTATGTGTAGAAATTTTATTATAAGCAGATACCTAATGTTGAAGTGATAAATTAATAGGAAGAACGCTTCTGTATCTTTAAATTAAAGCTTGTTTTTTTTTAAAGATTTCTTCGGTTAAATTCCTTATTTACTATTTATTTAATTAAAATACTGCATGATTAATGATTATTAATAATTATTATTGGAAGAAAAATACGATTCAAAAACATTGAAATAAACATAAGTATATTGAAAGTGTTTAATAAAAAAACAAGTTAAAGGTTTTTAAGAAGAAACTCAAAGTTTAATTTAGTTTTGTTAGTAGAAGTAGAAACGTAAGTAATTAATAAAAATACTGAATAAATAATAAATGTTAATGATGATTGTTAAGTATAATAGCATGTTTATATTTCGCATTGCAATACCAAAATTATGACTTTTAAGTTTTAGAAATTTCTCGAGAATTTGAGAATTCCCGGGAATTCCTAGTCGAGAATTCTCGAGACCAGAGAAAAAAAATAGGCCGAGAAATCAGAAACCCCATCCAGTAGCTTCGTTTTTCGGAGTTACAAGCTGGAAAAAATTTTCATGTCCATAAGTTATCGGCAACATAGATAAATCAGCGGAAAAGCTGTCGCTCGCACGAGAGAAAAGTGACTCAAAACACGAAAAGGGGGGAGGGGGACTTTCCGAGTACTTTAAAATGTGCAAAATTTTGAAAATTGAAAATTTTTTTCAAAAAATTATTTTGCTCTTTTTTTCATCAATTATTGCTATTTTGCAGCATCGGTAACAAATTTAAACATTTTTATCTTACAGTATATTGTGCTAAATTCAATTCTAAAACTAAAAAAGTTATTTGTACAGGACATAACTAATACAATGCGAAACATCGCCAGTGGGGTCAAATATAGCGATAAACGCAATCATTGGAAATTTCCGTTTTATACTTAAGTTAATCGTTTAAATTCTCTCCTTCCCCTCTCTTCTTGTAAATATTGATAAAAATTGAAAGTTATTTAATAACGAAATAGGCCGTGATCGCCATTTTCACTTATTTCTACTTGAATCAGACTATGCGCAAATAGAGACAAAACAAGTAGATTATAATTTACTTTACTGCCTATTTGACGTCAACCGAGGCATATGAGCATTTCCAAGAAAACCAAATTGTATAATTTATCCCAGTGTTACACAATCGCTTACCAGAACTTGCAATGTACCCGGAACATATATAAAATATGTAGATTAAATTATTTAACTCACCTCCGCATGATCGCGTTTTAATCAATTTCACCAGAAGCCACAGTATAGAAACGAGGTGAAAAATGTCTCCTATAATTCTGAATGCATTCATTGTGGAACTGTCGCTGTAACATTTGTAGAAAACACACCTCACTGACACTGGCAGTAGACGCGACTGGTTAGTTTCATTCGTTCGTCGTATTTTGCCGTGTTGTTGTTCTGTGCTTGAAACTATTTCAGTCGACAGTATCCAGAAGCGGTGTTGCCGCCGTTATTGTTTTGTAGTTGTGGTTGTAGCACGGTTACACCAGGAAAATTAGCGAAAATAAAAAAGAAACTCGAAAATAGTCCTATCCGCGAAATTACTGTAAAATTGTCTAATCTAAAGGAACATAATACAAAACATCTCTCATCTTGTGAGTCAAAAACTTTTATCAGCTAACTTTTCTATTTAAACAAATAAGTGAGGAAAACAGTTTTTTCACTTTGCAGGGAAAAGCATCAATAACTATCGGATTTGTTGTTAAAATTTTATAAAACCTATGACAATTTGAGGGTTTTGTCATACTATAAAAGTGTGCCAAAAGTGGGCGCTGTAGGTGCAATAGTTTTCGCACAATTCTATTTGTTTATAGCGGAGGCTCCAAAAGTTATGAACTTTAAGCCTCTGTACAAACGTTAATTTTCAATCAAACATGATTCTGAAAGCGTCATTGTAATCTTAAAGACGCAATTAAGCGACCTATTAAAAAATATCACGGTTTTTTTGACATTAACATTCTCAAATTGTGCATTAAGAAACCGTGCGTTTTTCGCTTATAAACAATTTGAATACCATTGTTGCTATTTATGCTATTTCACCGAAAATAGATGCAATGGATAGCTGGCAAAAAAATACAGTTTTAAAATAAAAAAAGTACCCCCTACGACCGACAGGAGCCAAGATAAGATTTTTTTTTAAATCGTAGCGCAATCGTTTATAAATATTAAAACTTGAATATTTCGCAAAATAAAGTTTACGACGTAAACTATGATTTCCCGTGAATTGCATTGAAAAATGTGGAAAATTAACGACTCACGACTCGCTAAGTAAACTGTCCGGCGGCCGGCGGCGTAGTGGTGGGGGAAGCTCGTCCAAGCGATCCCGCGGGCGAGAAAAGTTAAATGCAAAGTTCAAATAAGTGCGCGCTGTAAATTTTGCAATATCTCGGCTTCTATTCATCGTAGAAACATTTTTTTTTTTTTTAAACTGGGGTAGCTCGACGAAAAAATAACAATGGGCATATTTACGAATTCGTAGAATAGCCCTGAACCCCAGAAAAAATGCATCTTTTATACTTAATTTTTTTTAATTTACAAAAATCTCACAAAAATTATTGTTAAACGAAATATTAATTAAAATTTCAATTTCGGAATTATTTTACTATTATTAAATAAATAAATGAAGCTATCGTTCATTTAAAAAGTTATTTCTTTTACATATTAAGGCAAAGTAAACTTGTTTTTTCAATATTTTGTTAGCTATTTAATTACGATTTAAATGTAAAATTAAAGTAAAAATTCACAAATTATTTTCAAATTATTATTTATTGTTAAAAGATTTAAAAAAGAATAAAAAGCATTTGAATTTATTGCAAAATTCTCAAAATTAAAAAATATTAAAAATAACGCGGTCGATAAAATTACAATTTTAACTTCCTGAAATTTTAATATATAAAGTTTTTTTATTATATTTATTACTAATTTTATAAACATAATCAAAATTAATTCAAAAAATATTAATCACAACCATTTTCAATAATAGATATAAATAATGCAATATAATACAATTTAAAATTTAAAATTTTTTCTATTTTTATGAGAAATAATAATTTGAAAATAATTTATGAATTTTTACTTTAATTTTACATTTAAATCGTAATTAAATAGCTAACAAAATATTGAAAAAACAAGTTTACTTTGCCTTAATATGTAAAAAAATAACTTTTTAAATGAACGATAGCTTCATTTATTTATTTAATAATAGTAAAATAATTCCGAAATTGAAATTTTAATTAATATTTCGTTTAACAATAATTTTTGTGACATTTTTGTAAATTAAAAAAAATTAAGTATAGAAGATGTATTTTTTCTGGGGTTCAGGCCTATTCTACGAATTCGTAAATATGCCCATTGTTATTTTCTCGTCGAGTTACCCCTGTCAAAAAAAAAATAAGTATCTACGATGAATAGAAGCCGAGATATTGCAAAATTTTACAGCGCGCATCAATTTGAACTTGGAGGAGCTTCCCCCACCACCACTCCGCCGGCTGCCGGACAGTTTACTTAGCGAGTACCTTCTCTTTAAAGGGCTCGTGAGTCGTTAATTTTCCATATTTTTCAATGCAATTCACGGGAAATCGCAGTTTACGTCGTAAACTTTATTTTGCGAAAAATTTAAGTCTTAATGTTTATAAACAATTGCGCTACGATTTAAAAAAAAATTATATTTACCTGTTGCTCGTAGAGGGTACTTTTTTTATTTTAAAACTGTATTTTTTGCCAGTTATCCATTGCATCTACAGGGTCGGAAAGTCCCCATGGTTCATCTGCCGTTACGTGAGAGCGATAAAGTAAGTCATAGAAATCCGTGCGATAGAGAAAGATGGCTATAATGAAGGCGTCTAATTGTCACCGCCCATTTCGCCTTTCTACAAATAAGAAGTGGATCTTATTTGTAGTTGTGTTGTGTTAGTTATTTTTTTAAAAAACGCACAATTTACGGAGATATCACTCCCTTCTGTTTTGCTTAAAAATAAAAAAGAAGAGCTTTTGAGACAAATGACCTTCACAGTACTAAAGACAATAGTTCGATTTATCGTCAGTAAAAATTTGTAATATTTTTATCAATTAAAAAAAAAATTACGACGAGTTAAAAGGTATCAAGGTTGTAGGCAGAAAATGGTGATTTTTTCAACATTTTCATCAATAACTAAAAAATGGGATAACGAAACTATATCTATCTGAAATCTACTGACTACTTGAAATTTTAGCAGACAATAGAGCCATAGCGAGGTTATCGCTCTCCAAATTCAGGGGCCTATTTAATTTATTTCGATAGTAGAATGTGTAACTGAAAACGAGTTGATAGTGGTCTAAGGCATGAAAAATAAACACACTTTCTCAACAAATAAATGTAATTTACAGACATATATTTTACACATACCTAGTTCCTGAGCATTAGTATAAAAGTACAAAATTCATTGGGACTGTTCCAGTTTATAAATACAAAATCTGTTGTAAGCGTTATGATATGAATTATAACTGAAAAGCAATACATTATAGTCCAGGCGATAGATCAGTAAAAGTAGTCTTTGACGATTGTGTTTGAAGTCACCTATTTTGTTGTACAGAAAAATCCCGTATATTATCTAAAATAAGAATACGAGTCTGCCATTTTCAAAAAACCATTGCTAAATTCACGGGAACAACGAACATACAAAAAGAACGAACAATTACCTGTTTTTCGACATATATTTCCCCGTAACATTGAAAGTATGCCCTAAATAAAAAAAGTCATTATTTATTTATTTGTTTATTTGACAAAAACGGATTTCGGTTTTTTTCAAATATTTCGAAAACCAATCATGTTAGCCTTGATTTTTTAGAGGCATAATGTTGGTCCTCTGATTATGCAACTTTGCCCCCATTTAAGCTACTTCGTATCTCTTACCATTCCGAGATCCCTGTAGTGAGAAGCGAATTTGTAACAGCCTGTAGAGTAAAATATTGAAAAATTAAAAAAAAATTCTAAATTGTTATAAAAGTGTAAAAATAGGTATTTTTCAGTATTAATCATTGTTTACAACAAGTATCTCTAAAAAATTGTGTGCCCTTTCTAAACCTTAATTTAAACCCACGATACGCGATAAACTTTTTGAAGTTTTCTTAATTAACAATCTTGTGAATCGAAAACCACGCGATCGATGGTAGCAAAATTTTTAGGGTAGAATTGACATATGTTTTACTATTTGTTCACAAAGTTTCATCAATATGTATTTATAAATATTTACTTATTTTAAAAATTGCTCCAAATACGATTTTTCGCCCATTGTTAATGCAAAATTTCACTTTTTTGATTTGCAGTTGTAACTTAGAAAATCGTCAAATACACAAAAAATAAATAACGTTTTTTTATTTTGGGCTTACTTTCAATGTTACAGGGAAAAATATGTCGACAAACGGGTAATTTTTCGTTCTGTTTGTATGTTTGCTGTTCCCCTGAATTTAGCAATGTTTTTTTGGAATAGGCAGACTCCTGTTCTTATTCTACATAATATTTGTGATTTTTCTGTACAACAAAATAGATGACTTCAAACACAAACGCCTCGAATTCTGTAACACCTGGACTAATATAGTTTCATTATTTAAAAACACACATAGTAGTCATTGAAGCTAAAAATCAGCTGTAACCTCCGAATTCTTTAAAACTGCATGGATTTGCATGAAAATTTAGAATAAGGCTCATCTTAGGCTCAAGTTCAAAAGTGTCATAAGCCCTAGTGACGCTTTTTGTTTTTTAGGGGTAAAAACTACCCCTAAGTGAAAAAAATTGAAAAAATTAAGTTTTAAGCATTTTATTGATAAAAATCTTGTTCAAGCACAAAGATTAAATAATGTACCATGTCCTCGAACATGTTTTATGATATATTTGATCTTGTCGACCTTTTATTTAACCTTTCAAAACATAGGGGTAATGCATAAAATAATGATAAAAAAATTACTTTTTAAAGATTTGGAATAAAATAATTTTTCCCTTTCAACTCCTAAAAATCACCCCTATATTGACAAAAATGATAAAAAATTACTTTTTAAAAGCTTGGAATGCTTTAACTGTGCAATTATTTAAAATAAAAATTCCCTCATTGCTTATGAAAGAATCTCATAACACTTTTCAACCCTTATAAATCACCCCTGTGATAAAAAATTATAAAAAATTACGTTTTAAATCTTGGATTGCTATAATTGTGCAATAATTTAAAATAAAAATTCCCTTACCTATATTGTTTATGAAAGAATATTTTACTTTTGCCATTTTCAACTCTTATAAACTACCCTTTTACAAATATTAATGTAAAATATTTTTATTATAATCGATTTTTAAATATAATCAATCATACAAAAAATTGCTACGCTGCATATAAGTAATCACGCTAAATTGTTTTACTTATTTTATTTGTATAATATAATATATAATATATAAAAATGAGAAAGCCTATTTTGCTCCGAAAAAATGTCATTGGTTTTTTTACCATAACTCGGTTAATTTTGAAACTAGTAGTAGTAGTATCCTACAAAAAAGCATTTTAAAGATAATTTCAAGAGCTGTAAGATTGTTTGCATATAAAACCTTTTAAGTATATCGTTTTTTAAAGGGCTCGAAACAGGTCGTTTTTTCACTAAAATGGATACTTCAAGCGGCGATATCTCCTTTATTTTTTTTGCTACAGGAACAAATAAAAGCAAAATATTTGTTGAAAAAAAAGTTACATTTTTGTTGTCTTATCATTTTTTTCGTCTTTCATAGTCTTTTTGAATTTTTTGAATAATGAAAAATACGTTTTCAACTTTTACCGCACATTATTAAAAAAATACGCATTCTAAACCGGTCTAACTTCAGGATCGTATGAAAAACACTAAAACAAAACTAATTATTGTAACGATTAATTTTAATTCTGATGGAAATAGCGTTTACTGCTCATTTTTCCTTAAAAAATATGAGCAACCCATCTGTTTTTGACGACAACTCCTTCAATTTTGCTCTAATTAACTTTTATAAGTGCTCATTTTGAAGGTCTTTTTGGGTACTACAAAAAACTCCTGGAGCGTTATACACGTAAAATTAATCCTTATCCCGTTATTTGACTATTCGTGTATTTCCCCCAAAACAAGTTCCTTCCACTAACTATATTTCGCTTTGTATAGGACGTACGAGACTTTTTAAAAAACGACTGTCTTTGCTTATTTATAAGCTACATTTTTGTTCATTACACTTTTTTTAAATAAAATGCGTAGTTTTTGAGTTATTCGCAAAAAATACTTTGAAAAAGTGTTTTTTTCTCTCAAAATTCCAAGGTTTCAATCGTGAATAACTAAAAGACTATTGATTTCTCGAAAAATTTTTTGCTCAAAATTTGATTATCGATTTCCAGCGTTATTTTTGAAAAAAAATTGTCCACCCCCGAGAAGGGGTGTCAACCCCCGACAAGATGGAAACGTCAATCGGAGCTATGTCACTAATGTTCATTGGCCTTTTCTCTAACTATCTGCCAAATTTCAAGTCGATCGGTTCAGTTTCAAAGAATTCGAAGGTGAAAAGCTTCAATGACTGTACTAATACGGATTTTTCGTTTTCTAAACATTCCCATCGAACAGTTGTTCAGACGACAAAGTTTTTTCGTTGTTCACGATTTTCTTGTACGGTTCGTTGCTGCTTATAAACAAAATATTTTTCTTCAAAAATTTGCTGTTATCTTCGCGTACCACTTTAACATCGAACAATTCTAAAAAGGCAAATATGTATACTGCTATGGAAACGAATCCGGCGGCAATTGTTATCGTGTCGAAGTGATTTGGATCTGTGTAAAGGTACACCCAGTCAAAAATGTAGAATAGTCTGCAGAGTCCCAACGGTATCAAGTAATACAGCAAGATTTTCTCGACCACCGTATTTTTGTGTTTGTAGATCATGTAAAGTTGAGGTAGGATGGCTATCTCGTCTAGTACTAAACTAAACGACCATAATTTCTAAAACAAAGATAAGAACTTAGGTATAAGGGTCTCCTTCTAGCCTTCATAAATAGTGAGCTTACCTCTATTGACGTCATACGTTCGTCTGCAAATAGGGCTATCACGAATGTTGGAACTAACAATATTTCTGTTAAAAACGTATCTTCGGTGCTTCTGTATGATTTCCTCAAGAGTACGAATATCAACAGGGCTATGGTGTAATAGCAGATGACGTACATTATATTGAGAGTAATGTAAAAAGGTGAAACGTAACCTGGAAACGGACTCCATAATCTGGCGGTGTATACTATGGCGAAGAGCAGTTGGGTTTTACCGGAGATGTCTGAAATAAAAAAATTGGAAAATTGCACAGTCACACAAAAAAAAGTTGTCTGTACTTTTCATGCGACGTATGTTATCCGTAGTATTTTTGCCTCCTGATTACGAATCCGGTGTCAGAATTGAGCTATCACATCACAGGAATTTCCTAACCTCAAAGAACAGGTCAGAAATAGCAAAATGATGACATCTGACCTCAATTGACCCGTTCTTTTGAGGTTAGAAAAAGAAAAAGATCCGTCAATTCAGACCGTGGATTCACTTTCAGCAGGGTATTAACCATGTAAATGAGCATTTGAATATATAAAAAAAATTTGTATTTTTCGTAGCACTTTTTCGTGAATTTTTGCTATTTTTGATCTGTTTTTTGAAGTTAGGAAATTCCTGTGATGTGATAGCTCAATTCCGAGACGGAATTTGTGATCAGGAGGCAAAAATACTACGGATAACATGTCGCATGAAAAGTACATTATTATTATTACTCATACAGTAACAGGGTTTAATAGTTTAAAAGTAATATAGAATTTCCTGATTTTCCTAAGTTTTCCCTGACAAAAAAAATTCAGGTCACTTGTAGTTCATTTCTACATAATAATTGGGGTTTATGTATTAAACTTTTTCTAGACTGGACTCCATAATCTTGTCACCGTCGTTCTTAGTGGTGAAAATTCGAAATATTTGGAATTACTTAATTTTCGTGGCTGAAAACATACATAGTGATTGTAAATTTTTGAAGCCGAGAGAGTTGCACGAAACTAAATTTGTACAGGACATAGCTAATACAATGCGAAACATCGCCTTAATGTTAAAAATGTTCTTGGTTGTGAAAATTCGAAATATTTTGCGTTGTATATTTCATTTTGCAACTAAAGCTAAAAAATAAAAAAAAATCCAAGTTGCAAATTTGAAATTAAAAAAAAAATGATAGATTTCAATGTATTATTGTGAAATCTACCATGAAAAAAACAAGTGCGATTGTGGAAGATCCTCGGGATCGTCCAGACTAATAATTAGTTAATTTGTTTATAAGGCCATAACTTGTAAACTATTCAACTTACCGATTCCAGATTTCGTGTGAGTTATTAGACAGTGGTAAGGAATGAGAGGATGCGATGCCAAAACGTTCTGGTAATAATAACGCAGTTTATAAATGTTTAATTCAAAAGTCATAAATAAAATTCTTCTGTTTGTAACTTTTGACCTAATCAATATTTTTTGACGCTCGAGGGCTAGTTTTGTAGGTCTTTTGAGGACGAAAAAAAGTACTTTACTGTTTTCTCGTGGAAATGAACGGAAAAAGTTATAAGCGCAAAAGGTGAATTTACGTAAAAATTATACAATTAACCAGCCTGTAAAAAATCTTCCCCCCATTTTTATGACTCTGGAAAGTAATATGTTATTGTACATAATATTTAGCATCTAGTGCTAAATTCTGCTTTCCGAAACTAAAAGTTGCGTCCAACTCTATATTTCTTGGCTTAATGCCCAAAGATATAAGAAATTCTACTTTTTATACATATGTATATTCAAAAATAAATTATATATTTGCATACCTGTTAACGACTTAAAGTAGTCTTGAATTCTTTTATTTTTTAATTGTCGTAGTGGAAGTTGTTAATGTGACATTTTTGTATTACATGTACTTTGTATACTTAGTGTGTATTCTCCTTTTGCAAACGTCTATCATTGCAACGAAAGACAAAAAAAAGTAGTATAGTTTACATACAAATTAATTCATATCCGCTTTGAACGTGTCAATATATTGACTATTTGACGTCAGCCGAAGCACTTTAAACTTAAACAATATCACATTAGATATTCGTGAATTTGAACTTCCAAGAAGTTACACGCAAACATATTTTGGTATAAAGAAAACTATTGGACTTACCTCCGCACGATCGCGTTTTGATCAATTTTACCAGAAGCCACAATATGGAAATGAGATGAAAAATGTCTCCTATATCTCGGAATGCACTCATTGTGGAAATGTGGCTGTTAACACTTGTAGAATACGACGTGTCTGGCTAAGACTATCTGTTGACACCACCACTTCCTTTCGTTCCTCGTATCTTACTGTTTTGATGTTTTGAACGTTTTGGTGGTTTGTTTTTTTGTCCTTGAAATTATTTCAGTCAACGGTACCCAGAAGCGGCGTTGCCGCCGTTATTATTTTGTGCTTGTAATTGAAGCACATTACTTTTATTGAGAACTTTATCAAGAACCGACAGGGGCAGAGACATGTAAAGGCGGTTTTCCACTAAACGGACAAAACAAAAACAAATCACAGACTTGTGTCGAATAAAACAAAACTGTGACTTTTCGCAAACTTTTTGAAGACTGGCGTGTTTTGCGACAGTTGGAGTTTTGTTTTTCGGGTCCCGCTCGAAAGGGGTCACATTGAAAGGTTTCGACGTGTTTTGAAACTCAAGTCTGTTTAGTGGAAACGGTCGTGTTGTGTTTTCTTTTTAAGCAAACCAACCCAATATCCATGTTGGCGTTTTCTTCTTCCCAAAAACAATATTCTAATCATTAATGAATTATAGCTATTAAAAAATAACGAGCGTTCAAATAAAAACGTGGTCAAGTGTTGGTTCTGAAAATTTGGACGTAGGGCGTAGCGTATAGCAAATGAACTTAAACGTCATCTGTCAAAGCGGTATATCGCCGCTATCAATTTGAATATTTTCGTTTTAAAAAGCGTTTAAAATGGTTTTTTCTCAAGAACAAAAAGTGTTTATCATAGAGTCCTACTTTAGAAATGGCCGCAAGATTGATGGAATATGGAAGTATTCTATTGAGGAATGTTTCATAGAATTTCAAAATCAATTTCCCGGCGTTGTTGAGTACAAAATTTTTCAAAGTGCAGTTCAGCGTTGTGTTAATGTTTTTCGTGAAACGGGCAGTGTAACAAGAAAAGAAGGAAGCGGCCGACCTAAAAAGCGGACTGAAGAATTAAAAGAAAATGTCCAACAAATAATGGAAAATGCGCCAAGAACTTCTGTACGTGTTTTATCACAAATGGTGGGAGTATCAGTCGGTACCTGCCACACAGTGTTAAAAAAAGATTTGCGTTTGTTCTCCTATCGTTTAACTTGTCAGCAAGAACTTCATGAAGTTGATTTTCCGCGACGGGCTGTATTTTGTGAATGGTTTTTAAACAACTACGGTGAACTTCATAATATCACCTTTTTTTCTGATGAAGCCTGGTTTCATTTAAGTGGTTACGTAAACTCACAGAGTATGAGAATGTGGTCTTCTGAAAAACCAGATAACTTAATTGTCGAGGGCCCTCTACACGCTCAAAAAATTGGAGTTTGGTGTGCTCTCTCAATCGAAGGAGAATTTATGGACCTATTTTTTTAATGGTACTCTTACTGCGCAAAGGTAGGTATAGAGAAGAAATTATCGCTCCTTTTTTAACCAGCTGGAAGAAAACGAAATTACAAACTTTTACTTTCAACAAGATGGCGCAAGGGCACATACGGCAGGCGAGACGATGAATATGTTGAGGGAAGTTTTCCAAAATCGACTAATAAGTCTCAATGCTGAACATGAATTTCCACCGAGGTCATGTGATATTACGCCGTGTGATTTCTTTTTGTGGCCTTACCTTAAAAACACTATTTTTGAACTGCCTATTCCTGATTTAAACCATCTGCAGGCTCGACTTATAGACAAGATTCGTGAAATTAACAATACCCCGAGCATCTTAGAAAATGTCTTTAATTCTTTGAGGAACAGGTGCGAAAAGTGCTTGGAACAAGGAGGGGGACACTTTCAGCAGCTGCTTTAATTTATTGTTATAACAAGGAGGGGGACACTTTCCGCAGCTCCTTTAATTGTTTGTTATTGTTATCACGATTATTCTTTAAAATAAAGTTATATAATCATTAACGTTATTGAAACTGACAGCTGCTGAGAAATGAGGTTAAGTTGGTCGCTATAAGCTACTCCCTACGTCCAATGTGTCAGAGCCAACTTCGACCACGTTTTTATTTGAACGCTCGTTATATATGTGTACAGTTAAAGTGTTTACTTGGCTAGGATACAAACTAACCAAGTAAACACTTACCGTACATATACCACGAACTCCATCGATGGATATCTGGGAAACCGCTCGAAGGATTTTTTTGAAATTGTAATGGTGTAATACGAACCGTGGGCCTACTAAGCTAAAATATTTTCAAGGTCATCGTATTTCCGGTTTTACCGGAAGTAGATAACTAACTCTCTTATTTTAAATGGAACCCCCTGTATATTATTTCAAAAAATAGGGGTTTCCATTTAAAAATTTCGAGTTTTCCACATTTTCTGAACTTCATATTCGATAAATTTTTTTGACCACCCTGTATAAAAACTGGAAAATTTTCATGTCAAATTCGATAAAGTAGGTCTTCCTCTACAAAATGTCCAATTTGCACAAAAAAATAAACCGGGAAAACTAAATTTTCCTGACAGTCTGCAACTGTCAATTTTTGTCTAAAAATGAAAATATCTCGGAAACGGTCAATCCTAAGTATGGAGTGTGCTATATGTTTTCAACTTATAAATGGATACTATTTCCAAAAATGCAATAATATACACGGGGTTCCATTTAAAACAACAAAGTTAGTATCGACTTCCGGTATAACCGGAAGTACGATGGCCTTGAAAATATTTTAACTTGGTGAGCCTCACGGTCCGTATCACACCATCACAATTTCAAAAAAATCCTTAGAGCGGTTTCCCAGATATCCATGGATAGAGTTCGAGGTGGGACACTCTGTAGACACTTACTTTTTTCCCAAGGACTTCAGTATAAACCAGCCATAAGTAAGAATAACAAAAATCTTCTCTAAACATGTTGGTTGGTTATTGGAAAATGTGTTCTGACTTCCTCGCGACAACCAGTGGAAAAGGACCGAAAACAAAAACAAAACTCGAACAAAATGTAGCCCGCTTGATGGAAACAAGAGTTTTGGGTTTGTTTCAGTTCTGTTTTTGTTTTTCAGGTTCTAGAAAACACAAACAGGACATAAACTCAACTGTTCGTTTAACCGCCATAAGGGAACCCAAAATATGGTGATTTAACACAACTTACTTTTATACTAGGCTGCACGACTGAGAAGTTATAGGTCTTGAAAGTGGGGTTTCAAATTTCGAGAAAAATCAGTATCAGTTATACTTGAATTTAGAAAATTTGGTACACGGTGTGAGTGTACCAATAGCATTAATCGACAGTAAGTAGAGTTCAATCTTCAATCGACTCAGGCATAAGTTTATTCTTCGTCGAAAATTGGTCCACTCTATCTAATTGCTGATTGTTTCTAATGAATGTGCATTTAATCCGTAATGCGATTCCACAATTCTGCTCGAGACGTAACTGGCGAGGAATACACAAATTCTTTTAATGCTCCCAATGAACTCACATTTGTTGAGGCTTGGTGATAGAGGAGGCCAAACTTGTGGGCAATTATTTCCTCTTCCAATCCATTTATTTGGATACTTGTGGTTTAAAAAGTCTCTAACAATATTACTAAAATGAGGGGGTGCTCCATCATGCGTAAACCAATGTTCCAGTCGGAGTTGCAGCGGCACCTCGTCAAGTAGATCCGGGAGAGTGTTTTGGAGAAATTCTAAGTAAGTTTCCAACCAACCAATTAAATATCAATAGCACCGATGCGTTGACGTAATAGCGTGTCAATTTGTTCGCTAAACGAAAACATCCCGGCCATTTTCAAAACACTCAGCAAACAATTACTAAAATTAAATGACTTTTATCTGCTCCCACTATAGTAAATAAACTATTAATACATTGTTTTTAAGGAGGTAAGTGGATTTTACCGTAGAAGTGGAAGTTGCTATGGACAACGGGAGGTAAGTGAGGTAACTTACCTCCGTAGAGAAAAAAGCTATTTCGAGTTGTGAATGCATATTTATGAACAAATAAATAGAAATATTTAATGAAGATTACATTTTATTAATTATTATAAATAAATATTTATACTGTAGTTATTACAATTAGTAACATTTATAAAATCTGGATGATTATTCCCCTCACGTTTACTAATTGTCATATTTTTCTTCATTGCAAAGAATCCTGTAGGCTATTTCATTTTTGTTACTTAAACTGTCAGCAACATAACTTTCTGCAATAATTGTGGCTGATTTCCACCCACCATGTCTCTTGACTGCTAATACATCATCTCCTATATTAGCCAGTAACGTTGTCGATGTTCTTCGGAATGAATTGCCTGTATATGTTTCAGGATGTTCTAGTTTCAAAAACTGTCCAATCTATTAGGAATCATAGAAAGGGTATTCTTGCCGACTGGTTAGTTGTAACATCTACCTGCTCGATAGTACATAAAAAAGCGTGAAATTTCAGTTTTAATCTTGATATATTTTTTGAGAATTTCTAGATGAGAAACAGAACGCAGACGAGAAGTAATTGTAAACGTACGTGACATACCATTTTTAGAATCTGGAATTGTAACTACGATGTCTTCGACATTTTTGACGATGTCCTATGTAAATTTGCGTGACTCATCAGAACGGCATGCTCCTGCATTGCCTAAGACCGTCGCTACCTTAGCAAATATGTTTTATCGTGTGCCCAAACGAGAAAGTCGGTGACTTGTTCTCTTGTGAAAACGTTTGACTTTTTAGTTGTATAACCGTCATTCTTACGTTTCTAAGGTATTTTGATATATCCACGTTCTCCTCTATGAAAATAGTTGACCTAATTGTTGTAGTTTAAATAAATTCGCGGTTTATCTATTGTATAGGTAGAGCGAGTCCTCGGCCTCACTGCGGTTAAGCCTATCTAAGGTAGTAATATGATTAAAAGTAAAGCAAGCGTAGAAAAACGCATGTTCTCAGATTTACTACTGTCAAATAAGATAGAAAAATTCATACCTATTGTCAAACCAATACTCAAGTATTACAGTGTTAATAAATTAGTGTTCAGTTCAATAACGGTGTAATTATTCCCCGGGAATCCGTCTCCAAAATACAGTCCACTAGAAGTAGCCTTTGCAGAGCCCACACCCATATTATCTCCACACCAATCATTG